GGTGGTGGCCTCTCAAAGAGGGCATGTATCAGGGAACTGTCCAGCCTCATTTTACCAAAGATGAGTCCTTGATATAAGAACAACTATTTCTGGAGGCACTTAATGTTCTTTTTGTATTGTATATGGCTGAATGAATTTGAAGGATGCTAGCTAGATTTTTTTATGTACACATTTTATGTAGATGCTGATGGAAAAATGTGTATCTGTACTTCTAGTTGTTATTGCTGTTTTTGCGTTTGTTTTTGATTCAAAACCAGCACAGGGTCTTTGCTGTGTGGATAGGAGAGGTGATGTTGCCCTTGTGTCACATAGTGACTGTACAGTTTCTTGGATTGTAATCTGACTTTTGGATTTAGCAGGATTAAAATACTGTTAGTATGAATTTTGTTACTTCTATCAATTTGGTTGCTATAATAAATACTAAAATAACTGGTTAAGAGTGTTAATAGAGAAAACCTGTGAGCATCAGGACATTTGGCAACATGTTTTATTAAAAAAATATCTTCCTTCATACAAGTTCTTTGTGTTTTCTTGCAATGAAACAATTTGTGCAGACATCTTGGTGACAGAGTGTAGGAAAGCAATTTTTTCCAGTTACGGCAATTTTTACTGTTTTCCTGTTACTTAAGAAATTTTATATTTCCATTCATAAAGTGGAAATCCAAATGGGATCCTTCCTGTTAATGTGTTCATTTGCCTCCCACAACTGGCTAGAGAAGAGGAGGCAGCCTTTTTGAAAACTCATTGTCTGAGTGCCTCCCTGTTGTGACTTTTTTTTTTTCTTAGACAAAAGAAGAAAAAAATGATTGTGCCTTCTGATATGCATGAATTGAAGTCAAATTTGCTCATCTGATTACTTCCATTTTATGCATTTTTTTTGGGTGTCTGGCCTTTCCCCAAATTTCTTTTCTTGTACTCAAATACTTGCATTCACCTGACTGAAAGCCCCCCACAATTTGGGTGTGCCCGTTGGGGCTGTTTAAAGACCAGGCAGAGGTGAATAGCTGCTACTGAGTGGTTTATCAGAGCCCTGAGGAGGAAGGGGCTTTCTCTGGTTGACATACCTCCTTTCTGGAAGAAAACAGGTGATCTAGAGAAGAAATAGCTAAGCAAAATCCATCCTTCCCCCCCTCCACCTCTCTCTTTGCTTTTACTCTTTTGTCATGCCTTCTAGTTGATAGTCACTATTCAGTGACTGGCCTGTGTTTTAGTGTAGCTGTATTTGGAACCTGTTAATGTAACATGCAAAATGCTGCAAGTGCAGCAAAGAGGGGACAGGTACGTAACGGCTACACAAGGAAATACAGGGATTGCTTTGCTCTAAGAATTGGTGGAACCATTTAATTTAAAGAAGAGACCTCCCTCCCCCTCAACTTCCTTGACTTAAAGTAGCTCAGTACTGTGCTTTGTAGCTGATGGATGTCCCTTATACTCTAGCATCTATTTTGGACTCTTGAGCTCAAACATCAGCGCTCTGTGTGTTTCTGATTTATTCTAAGGATATGAATGAATGCCTGTTGAACCAAGTAAGGAAATTTCTCGCTATCCAGACATTCCTCCTGATTCCTAACTAAATTGCCATAATGAAAAGGGAATGGGAGTTGAAATAAATACAAATTGCTGTTCCTCAACTAACTTACTAATTAAGATGATGAATTGTTAAAAGTGTGGTTAGAAGTCTGTGTTTGCTACGTACTTGTTTTTTCTTGGCATTTTGGGTTTTGCTCGTACACTGACTGGTGTTGCTATCTTGGAATTGCATGAAAATGTCCAAGGGCAAAATGTTGGACTTGACACCCTGAGGAATTTCTCCAGTATTAACAGTATATCCACATACTGAATATGGTCTGTAGCAAATAGGCCTTTATTCCATTAAAGGATTTCAGCATTCAAGTACACTTTTTTGAGAGATACTTATTATAAATAGAGAAAAATAATTTTCTCTCTCCCTCTTTTTTTTTTTTTTTTTTTTTGCATTTCATCTCTCATTTCATTAGAGGCTTGGCTATAGAAAATCGCTCTCCCCTTTGGGCAGCTCTAGACTCCTGCCTGTGCTGCTTTGTCTAATTAGTGGTTTCTGTTCAGTAGCTTTTGTAAAATATTTCTATGCATTTCTGTCACCACGCATAGGTGTGTTGAATAAGCTTCAAATGTTTCTTTTTGTGTGGTGGCAAACGTTACAGGTAGAAAACAGCATGCTTTTTCCTATAGCCCTTTGTATAGCTTGTGTTGCTTTCCCCTCTTCTGCTTTGGCACTTTGTGTCAGAACATAACAATTGTATCAATTACACCTACTTCTATTTTATTTTATTTTTCTTTTTAGGTGGTGGATTTATTCTTGCAAACTCCTGCTTTAAATAAATGTAGTCTTAAAGCCTTTTTCTGAAATTAAATTAAATACAGGTTGGAGCAGAGACTGCTAAAGCTATAGTCTGTTTTATAAAAGCCACTGGTTTGTTAGAACTCTTCTAAAACTGCAGCAGCCCTGCCAAGGCTGTGTGTGGGCTGCTTGCAGCGGTGCAACTCCTTATGTTGGGGGACTGCAGGAGTGACAGCAGTGCTTGGGCAACAGAAGGAGCCTGTATTTACTATGTGCAACTGTTAATGTGAAAATGGAACAAACATGTTCAGAAACAAATACTTCTTTTCCATTAAAATATTACCAGTGTACCTCTTGATAGTGTACATCTTCATGGCAATTATTGGCCAAGGCCTTAACGTGAAGGGATTGCTTTAACAGTCTGTTATGGTGATTTTTCTCTCCTGTGGAGCTGTGTTTTAGACTTCCTAGGAGAAGTGTCATTGCAGCTGAAGTGCTGTTATGAGTCTTTCTCCTTGCATGTCCTTTGAAGTCAACACAGCATGAGTATAACTGACAGATCCTTCAATAACCAGCTTTGCAAAATTTAATATTTGAGATGTTGTCAAAGGAGCGACTAGCAAGTCTTTGAGATGTTAGAAACTGGTCAATTTGACTGCAATACTACTTGATTCAAAATATAATTTATTTTCCTTTCTCTAGCTGTGCTGCTGGAGAGGTGGTATGGCAAAGTAATCCACAGTGACCAATTCTTTATGCAAACATCCTTAGGTTCATGGGAAGATATCCTCATTTTTCCAGTTGCTTTCAGGGTCCTGAGCATCCCTGATGGATGGCCATTTTTAGAGTTTGCCTCTCAGTGCTTGGTAAGCTCTCTTCTCGTGATATAGCAAGAGAAGAGCCACATAGAAGCTTTATTTTTTTTTTGCTAGTGTAAGTGACACTAGAGTAATTTTTTTTTAAACTTATGGTTCTTGCTACTCTACTGTTGTGGTTTTACTCATCCATATACAAAGAATTCTTTCCTGCTGTCTTGAAACATAACAGTATAATAAAAAAGAGAGAAGCAGTGATGTTTTCAAAGGAATTGTTTTTAACTTAAATATTTTTAATCAAGAGAAACTAGATGTTGTTCAGAAAGTCAACACTTCTTGTGGCTACTTCTTGTGGTGATTAGGCCAAGTGAGAGATGTCCAACCCTCACCTTATCTGTAAGGGAACCGGGTACCCAACAGGTCTTTGTCTCTTTACTGATCTCCAGTGCTTAGTCTCTCAGTTGCATCCAGGCAGATGCCGGGTTCAAGTAGTTGTAAAATGGATTAAAAGGTTTGTTTTTGAACGAGAGAGAAATTAGAGTTACCATACAATTAAGTGTCCAAAGAAACTCATTTAGTATTTTTCCTTCTAATGGAGTGGGGATTGGATTTTATTGTTGGGGCCTTATTCTATTAAAGGCACCATTTGGTATATTCTTAATTCATGACATGGTCCCGTCTCAGTGCAGGTAGTTTGACAAATACCTAAACTGTGGTTTCAAGATGATACAGGAAATGTAATGACGTTATGTGCTCTGTTGTTACTGAAGGGCTTAATTATGTGGTTATTGAATATTAGACTATAACAAACCTTTTTTAACCCATTTCAAAAGGGCAAAATTGGAATCCTTTTTGGTCTTTCCGATAGAATTTATTTTATTACTTATTGTATTGATTTTTTTTTTTTAAAACAGGATGAAAGCCAGTGGATATGGTTTAAGACCTGTGATTTTGTAACTGGCTTCTGGGGGGCTTTGGCTGGTGCTTTTGGGGTGCGTTTAGATGAATTTGTCAGCTCTCATCTTGTGTCCCCTTCAACCAATGGTGGTGTTTTCTCTTTAATGTTGTACTGTTGTGTTGGTGCTTATACATTACAACTTTATTATATGTCTGTAAGATATCAAGTCAGATTATCTAAACTGGTATTTTGGTGTCTTGTGTGGAAGATAAATTAGTGCCAAACCTGCCTGAATAAACAGATGGGTTTTTAAATATGCATTCAGTATGAACATGGTTGGGACACTTATGTCTCAGTTGTAAGTGTTGCTTTTATATATCCATTGCTAACATGTAGCAATGCCATAATCCATACTAATATATACAATCCGTGTTCTCATGAATCAACTAGTTGAGAGCTTCAGGAACTCAGTTTTAGTTTTGTTTCAGTACTTCTTAGGAGCATATTCAAAGCAAACTGTTATCTCTTTTGAAATACTATTGCTCATAAATATTGTCTATTTTGCACTGTACATCATAGTGGCTTGGCATATTTAGAAGTGATGTGACTGAAGCTTTATTGCTTTCTAGACTCTGATGATCATTGATGTTTGTGAAGGAGTTCAAAGACAATTGTCTTTGATTCAGTGCAGAAATCAAGGTTGTTTGACAAACTTAACTCTCTGCTAGATAAGTTTACTTAATTTGGTTATTTAAGGAGAGAGAAACTCTGCTCATAATGTCTGTACTCAGAACTTGACTTTGAGTCTGAAGGGAGTCTTTATAACCAACTGAAAATCCTAATGTAATGGAATTGCTAACTTATGTGTAGTTTAATTGTTAAACTTTGTAAAACATTAGTGAGTGTGTTAGATGCTTGTTGATGTGCCTTATGCTTATTTTTTTTTCTCCTTCTTTCTTTCTTCTAGTTTCTTTGCTTGAAGAACATAAGAACTTTTCTTTCGGCATGCTGTGAAATATTTGGGATGAAGAAAAGTGAACTTTTTGAAGCATTTGATTTGTTTGATGTGAGGGATTTTGGAAAGGTAAGGATCTTAATTATCTCCTGAGTAACATACGTGTTTTGCTTCCAGATTGACATTGAAGGGCCTAGGGAAAGGCAGAAAAGCCCCCTGATAGATAGGGTTTTAAAGATGTAAAAATGAAAGGAGGATAGAGGAATTAAATATAGTGCTGAAAGGGGTAAAAGTATACATCATACATATAAAGATGGCAACATGGAGGTGAGCACTGTCTGGAGAAGTCTTTTGATAAATATTATGGAATCAGAAACCTCATACCTTTTCATTGTCAAGCTGCATGGCATATATTTCCTTTTTTTTCAGACACTCTAAAACTTACCTCTTTTTTTTCCCCAAGTTTTTAAAAATCTCTTGAGGATTCTAATGGCTGAGCACACACACAGCCATGGGTGGTTAATACCACTGTTGTGACTTGCAAAGACTAAAATAGTTGCTTCTGTAAACCTATGATTAGTTACTGTGAATGCAAAAGCTTTTTCCAGTGTATTGTTCACAACCTCCTACATACCTGTTTGATCTGTCACTGCTAGCATATGTTCAGTTCAACTTCAGTTTCTGTTTGAGTCATAGGGTGGCATTACCCAAATCTCACACAAAAGGGCCTAAAAATTGCCCGAAGTCAAATAGTGTAAAAAATAATCTAATTTGAATAAATAACTGTTTTGAGCATTATTTGCCTTTTAATAGCTCATACTTCAACTGTTTATTGTCCTTCTTAACTAGATATGGAGGCCAAAATATGAGTGCAAGCCTGAATCAGGATTGCAGTATGCATATTTGAAATGGCTCACTGAATTCTAATAACCAAAATGTTTAACTAAATCTGTTGCTTATAAACATAGCTAAACCTGGCAATTTCTTTTGGTCCTTGTGAATTATATTTAAGGAAAAATCTTTTATTAAAATATGTTTTTTGATACAAATTTCCTATATTGTTTGTTTGATTAACATGTTCAAGTACCTGAGGGGTGATTGTGGGGAGGATGGAGCCAGACTCTTCTTTGTGGTGGCTGGTGACAGGATAAAGGGTAACACGTGTAAGTTGAAACACAGGAAGCTCCACCTCCGTATGAGGAAGGTGAGGGTGACAGAGCCCTGGAACAGGCTGCCTAGAGAGGCTGTGGAGTCTCCTTCTCTGGAGATCTTCAAAACCCACCTGGATGTGGCCCTGTGCCACGTGCTCTAGGTGTCCCTGCTGGAGCAGGAGGGTTGGACTAGATGATCTCTAGAGGTCGCTGCCAACCTCAACCATCCTGTGATTCTGTGAAAGTGTTTTAGATTTGTTTTCCTTTTGTGCAAACAGTGGAAATTAAAATTCTTTCTAATAAAATAAAAGTGCTATCAGTGTCTCCATTGAGGTATTTACTAAGCCAAGTATCTTAATGCTTGTGTTCAGTCTGAAACTTATGCCTAATGCACAGAAATCTTTTGCTATTTTGTTTTCTGATTAATTGTGGAGATTTCCTATGTTTTGTGTTTAGTGACACTTGAATGTAAAAGGTTTGATTTTTAATAGTCTAGTTTTGAAGAAATAATTTAGCAATGCAAAGTATTAATGCTGCATAACTGAATTTCCTGAGAAAAAGTTTTGAATTAGGACTGAATTTAGCTTGGCACATGTGTTTCTGACACTTTTTAAATTGTCATTGTAAGCCATTTTATTTTAGAGTGCAGCTTGATGTAAATAGAATAATATGTTGCAAAAATATTGTGCCTTCCATGCATATATTTATCATTTTATTGCTCTTCCCAAGGTAAAATTGGATGTGAAGATGTACAGTTACCAGGTGTATTACCACAGCATAGCTTGCATAGACTTGTTATCCCTGGGATTTATTTCAGCTAGTGGTGACATAAAAGCAATGGTTTCTATGGCACACTTCATCATGTGCCCAGCAAAATTGCCCTATGCTGGCTGTTGATAGTCTGATGAGCATTATTAACAAGCTCTGTAATCACTGGTCGTATAGACAGCTTCCTAAAGGAAGGCTTCCTAAAGCCTTAATGAGGCTATTAAGAAAGAAGAGGAAAACTAAAAGCATATGGCATAGTGTCCAAGCTATAAAATGTATGGCTAGCATGCTGAGTTATTTCTGTGGCTTACCCATGTCAGCTAGCTGGGTGATTTGTAAAGCCTCATGCGGTTTCAGTTCCAGTTCTTATACAGCATGTGTTACTCTGCAAATTCTGGTAGTTAGTAGCTGTAGTGGGATAAGAAGGCTTATCTTTTGCTTTTTATTTTATTTTTTTTATTTTTTCCCTGCCGCTCAACTTTTCTGATGTTTTTTTAATTTGCTTATGAATAATAACTTGAATCAATTTACCAGCCTTTGAACTTCTGGAATCCTCTTGAATTGGAGTTGTATATATGCAAAAGGCCAAGAAATCCAGTCCTTCAGATTTTTCTGCTACTAGTAACCAGGGCATTCTGCTCTTTCTAGAAATAATTATTTAAATAATTCTCCCTAAATATGCACAAAATATGTGTTATGTTGAAGCAAACAAAAAGATTACTGTATTTTGTGTTGTTACTCTTGTTTAGAAACAGTCTCTCAAACACATGTGTTTTCCAGACTATTAGCCAAGTGAGAACTAATCTGGGCAACTTCTAGGGCCTTCAAAAATCGCCGGTGTAGTAGGAGCCTTGCACTAGCTGCTTGAGATTTCAGGAATTGGCAGGTGGTACTTAGTGGTAAGATGCAAGTAAATTGTGGCTGAAGTAACACCATAAACCTTATGTGTTTAGTACTTTGTGTTTGTATTTTTCAGGTACCTTATCACAACCACCAAGAGAGTGGTTCAGCCCTTTTTAAGCATTAATTAAAATGATTAAAATAGTGGCTATTGAACTCATAATGAATATTCATTATGAATGAATATTTTGTTTTATGTGACGTTTTCATGGCTATTTAAGCCCCCCTATGGAGGAAAGGGGAGAATTGTGTGAAATGTAAATGAACAGCATGCTGTCAAACAAACAGAAGCAGATGGGGAGAGCTGGTGCTGGAAACTGTCAAAGCTTTTGACATTCCAGTTTAAGTGTTTTACAATATTGACAGGGCAAATCTGCCTATGGTAGAGGTTGGTAGCCCTGCTTTCCCAGTAGTCATAGTTTTTTTTTTGAGAGCCCTGTGAAATACTTGTTACAAAATGTTTCATGGTGAAACTGGCATTTAATAGCTAGGTGTAAATGAACTTTGTTTTCAGTGGTTTTGACATAGTATAGGAACATGAGACTTGAACTTTGTGCTCTGCTTTGCAGTGACTCTTTGATCTCATAGTGATTAGAGTATAAGGGTGTATGCAGCATGGATGGAAATTGGAGGTGAAGCTGAAGCAGCAAGATGTTGGAGACTAAGGGTGAGGTAAATGGACTGGAAAGCAGATAACCCTTAAGTACGTTTTTAATAAATGCCATATGAACTTGGATATTATCTGGTGTAGTAGGGGGTTTCCTTATGTTTCAGATATGATGGCACAGATTTTCTATTTATTTTTAAGCTAACTGTTCTGGAAAGAAAAAAAACAGGATATATTACTTCAGGAACCTTCCAATTTCTGTGTGCATTTTCTAAAAAATGAAGGAATATATTTTTTTTCCATGTTCTGCAGTATTCACTCATTTCCACTCATTCACCTTTCTTTCAGTAAATCTCATTGCAATTGGGTTTCTGATGGAGCATGAGCTGCCTCCCACGCACAAAGAGGTGCCAGACAGTGTTTTCATTCCGAATTCCACCATGGAGAGTCATTTTTCACTAGCACAGGACTGTCGGGCTCTTCCTTTCTACCTGGCTGCCAGAATCAACAAATGCTGTCAGTACTTGTTCTCCACGTTCCTGCAGCAACAGCCTCCCTTGCTGTTTGGGATGCCACAAATAAATAGTTGCTATCCCAGTCCTCTGAAGGGAAATTTCAAAGGAACCTGGCGAATAGCTCCAACACTGTTTTCCTCAACAGACACTTGCTGAACTCAGAGCAAGGTTTGGGCACTGTGAGGAAAAAAGTTTCCATATGAAATGGAATTCAGAAATGGAATTTTGTTTATGCAGACTTTAAATATTCTAATTAATGTATGGCTGAGCAAAGGGCTGATCTCCATGGCAAAACTGATCTAATATGAGCATAACTTTTTAAATCTTTGCTGAATCGTGTCAGTAAAAGTAAATATATTTTCCAAGTAGACTGAAAGACTGAAAGATTTCTAGACATCTGCAGTAGTTATCTATAAATGACATACAACATATAATTGTGATTTTTTAAAAAGAGGATTTGATGCCAAATGGTCAAAACAAAATTATTACTACCTTATTGTTAAAAAGCATGTATAATAGGCATGTAATGTGACATCTTGTGTAGCCAGCTCTCCAGAAACACTTAAAGGGCTTGTTTGTGTAAGAGCAAGAAACTGCTGTGAAAATATTGCATGCATATCTGAAGGTCATGTAGTATGTGATCATTTTTGTCACTCTGTCAGTACAAAGGAAATCCGGACTATGATACAGCAAAAAGTCATGCTAAAGTTGGAGATCCTGGTGTGCTGAAATTCCCCTAAGGATATGTTTAACAGATTCCAGGAACATCAAGCAGATGTACGTGAAACTTACACATCAAAATTGACACAGCTAGGAACAACAGTTACTTCTAAAAGTGATATAGTCCTGTCCAGGAAGAGAGAGGAGAAAAACATTTTGGAAAATCTTCACTCAAATGAGGAGTTTGAGATTAACTTCACTTGTGTTCTGTTTTGTTTGATGGACTTAACCAGCAAGAGGTACTGGGGTGAAATTTGAGTACTTGAACTAGTAAGGTCATATTAGAACTGCAGACTCGTGGGGAACGTCATAATATTATATTACATTTCTGGAAAAGCATTCAAACATGAATGGGGAATGTGTATCTCTTAAGTCCGTTTTTAATGATTTAATAGCTTTGTATCTTCCTTCTCTGAAGCTTTTCTTTTTTTTTTTTAAAAAAAAAGACAGCTCAGGAACTCAGCCATA